ATGTCATACCCCGTTCAATTCGTAACAAAATTTCCCATCGACGTGTATTCAAAAAAGTAAATTCTAATTTTTTGCCATTTTTCGCAAATTTTGATGGGGGTACCCCTTATCGAAAATGCGAAATTTTGTTAAAATTTATTTTTTCGAAAAACATAAAAGTAGTGATAGGCATAGTTAGCTATGTTTATTAGCAGCACAAAACTGTATTCATTTTAGTTGTGCCTTCTTTTTTGGCTAAGTTATGGCGAAAACCCAGTTTGAAAATATCCGATTTTTGACAACATTTTTTTTATGATTTTTTTTTGATAAAAATAATCAGTTTTTTTGCGATAGCAATAAAAATAGTTGTCCAAACCTAGAATGTCATACCCCGTTGAATTTGTAACAAAATTTCCCATCGACGTGTATTCAAAAAAGTAAATTCTAATTTTTTGCCATTTTTCGCAAATTTTGATGGGGGTACCCCTTATCGAAAATGCGAAATTTTGTTAAAATTTATTTTTTCGAAAATCATAAAAGTAGTGATAGGCATAGTTAGCTATGTTTATTAGCAGCACAAAACTGTCTTCATTTTAGTTGTGCCTTCTTTTTTGGCTAAGTTATGGCGAAAACCCAGTTTGAAAATATCCGATTTTTGACAACATTTTTTTTATGATTATTTTTTGATAAAAATAAACGGTTTTTTTGCGATAGCAATAAAAATAGTTGTCCAAACCTAGAATGTCATACCCCGTTGAATTCGTAACAAAATTTCCCATCGACGTGTATTCAAAAAAGTAAATTCTAATTTTTTGCCATTTTTCGCAAATTTTGATGGGGGTACCCCTTATCGAAAATGCGAAATATTGTTAAAATTTATTTTTTCGAAAATCATAAAAGTAGTGATAGGCATAGTTAGCTATGTTTATTAGCAGCACAAAACTGTCTTCATTTTAGTTGTGCCTTCTTTTTTGGCTAAGTTATGGCGAAAACCCAGTTTGAAAATATCCGATTTTTGACAACATTTTTTTTATGATTATTTTTTGATAAAAATAATCCGTTTTTTTGCGATAGCAATAAAAATAGTTGTCCAAACCTAGAATGTCATACCCCGTTGAATTCGTAACAAAATTTCCCATCGACGTGTATTCAAAAAAGTAAATTCTAATTTTTTGCCATTTTTCGCAAATTTTGATGGGGGTACCCCTTATCGAAAATGCGAAATTTTGTTAAAATTTATTTTTTCGAAAATCATAAAAGTAGTGATAGGCATAGTTAGCTATGTTTATTAGCAGCACAAAACTGTCTTCATTTTAGTTGTGCCTTCTTTTTTGGCTAAGTGATGGCGAAAACCCAGTTTGAAAATATCCGATTTTTGACAACATTTTTTTTATGATTATTTTTTGATAAAAATAATCCGTTTTTTTGCGATAGCAATAAAAATAGTTGTCCAAACCTAGAATGTCATACCCCGTTGAATTCGTAACAAAATTTCCCATCGACGTGTATTCAAAAAAGTAAATTCTAATGTTTTGCCATTTTTCGCAAATTTTGATGGGGGTACCCCTTATCGAAAATGCGAAATTTTGTTAAAATTTATTTTTTCGAAAATCATAAAAGTAGTGATAGGCATAGTTAGCTATGTTTATTAGCAGCACAAAACTGTCTTCATTTTAGTTGTGCCTTCTTTTTTGGCTAAGTGATGGCGAAAACCCAGTTTGAAAATATCCGATTTTTGACAACATTTTTTTTATGATTATTTTTTGATAAAAATAATCCGTTTTTTTGCGATAGCAATAAAAATAGTTGTCCAAACCTAGAATGTCATACCCCGTTGAATTCGTAACAAAATTTCCCATCGACGTGTATTCAAAAAAGTAAATTCTAATTTTTTGCCATTTTTCGCAAATTTTGATGGGGGTACCCCTTATCGAAAATGCGAAATTTTGTTAAAATTTATTTTTTCGAAAATCATAAAAGTAGTGATAGGCATAGTTAGCTATGTTTATTAGCAGCACAAAACTGTCTTCATTTTAGCTGTGCCTCCTTTTTTGGCCAAGTTATGTCGAAAACCCCGATTGAAAATATCCGATTTTTGACAACATTTTTTGTTGTTTTATTTTGTTCCTTTGTTAAAATTTGTTTTTTCGAAAATCATAAAAGAAGTGATATTGATAGTAAACTATGTTTACTAGGAGTTACAGTCTTCATTTTACTTTTTCCTTCATATTTTCCCAAGTTATGGAAAAAAACCCGTTCGAAAATCGTTTTTATTTTGTTTATTTTGTGGAGGTCTTTTTCATAACTTTGATTGAGCTATGGATACCATTCATTGTCTCTCCCATAAATTGGAAACATTTCTATCCGGATCATAATTCCCAAGACTCTTGGCACTTGGCAAGGCCATTTACACTTGGCTTCTCTGATTGCTGTTTGTTATGTGCGGTTTCTGTTGGCTTGCCCACTAAATTAGAGAATAAACAAAGTGTCGGTGTCTCATGCCGCATACCGCATACCTAATATCGCGTATACGTCATAGGTGCCGACCATAAAAAGTAACCAACCATGGAGCTGAAAAAGCAGAGCGGACCGTAAATAATGCACCGGCGATTTATCAGCCAGAAGAGACAGTTTCAGTTCCAGTTTCAGTTTCAGTTGCATTCATCGGACTCTCGTGTTTGTGGGGGGAAAAACCCCAAGCCACAACGGCTATTCAAATGCCATTTCGTAATGTTGGCATAGCCAGAGTGCCACCAAAAACAAAAAATCAAGAAAAAGCCAAACGACAGAACGAATACACAGCCTTTTCAAAATACCAAAAGTATACGTGGGCTTGTAGAAGTTAAGACTTGAACTATAGATCTTTGGTAATTATTGTGGATAATAATTATTTTAAATTACACTTAAAGCTCTGCTGAAATGGCTTTTTTATCTAGAATTTTTTGAAAATCTCTAGAGCGATAAAATGAGAAAAAGAGCGAACATTCCGGACACCAAAGGGTTTAGCTTCTTTTCTGTTTTTTCTGTTTTTTGCTGCAGTCTGTTTTCAAAAACCCAGCCCACGAAATGTTTGTTGGCTTAGCCCCGTTAAGCCTCACACTAATTACACTTGCGCTTTTCACAGATCCACACACATAAACTCTGCTCACATGACTACCACAATTTTCTTAGCCAGCCCGTAAAAAACTCCAACATATTTTCATTTTCATGGTCAGAGTGTCAGTTGAATGGGTTCTCCTTTTTTTGGCTGGCTAAACCAGACCAAGGGAATGAACAAATGAATGAAAAATTGTAAATGAGAGTTAGGACCCGTGCAAAATATGCAAATGAAAGCTGCTGTCTCCCGTATTCATTTCCTTTGCTCTTCCTATTTTTCGCTTTTTTTGGTTGCATACCCAAAAGTTGAGCCCGCAAATCTTGATTTAATTTCCGGCTATTAAGCTGGAATGGAAAATTCTGGGCTGGCAAATAGTTGCGGACAGAAAAGGGAAAGTAGTGAAGCAGCTCATTAGGATCACAAATGAGTCACGTACTCGAGCTGGTTGTTCTTCTTTTTTTTAGTATGCTGCAGAAATCCAGTGCTAATTTTAATGAATGGCGCACCTAAACATTCCATTGTGGCTTGATTTGTGTTAACCAAGAACAAACGCACACAAAAAGATACTATATTTACCAACGAATGTATGGTATAAGGTAATACGTAAAGATAATAGTCGTATAATTGTAACATTATTGGGCTCACATAAGCCTTATCTAGCAGGCGGCAAAACAGATTTCACTATGTAAGGTCTTCAGCGCAAACAAATTCATGTTTTCAAGGCTTTAATCCATTCAGCCGGCAATTCCACGCCTTGCACCTCAGCCACGCAGGACCCATTTATTCCCGGCTTTATGACTCTGCCAATGAATGGGCACCGGCACGGGATGTGTCCTGGCCAAGGACCCTTTGACCCCACCTCGCCTGCCGGTCACTCTATTATTTATTTATAGAAAGTTGGCAGACTCACGCCAAAGGGGCGAAGAATTTTGGTCCTTTGCTGCTTGGCCGCCTCCATTCTGTGACAAATGAATTTGGGTCAGAAGTTGTGCAAATTAAAAAAAAAAAAGAAGAAGCGAAGCAAAGAAGGATGTCAAAGTTCCTTCAAACAGGACCGAAAGATTCGTCTCGCCTTTGACTCGCCTGAGCGACATTCAACTGGTTTCAAGTGCCGAACGGAATTGCAGTTTTATTTCCATTCACGTAGCTCCAGCTCCACACACGGAATGTTGTCCTTCCGCAAAATAACAAAAAAAGTTAAGAATGTATAAGCTGCTGTTACGACTAACTGCTACCCATTACCGCGCTACAACACAAAGACGCTTTCTACGTGTTTATGGCATGTTTGCTTACAAACAAATCAGAGATACATTTCTGTAATTAACCAATGAGCAGTAATATAATTTTGATTGTGTGGCATAGCTACAAGAATACAATATACCCGTACGTTCCACAAAAAAGGGGTGCAAAGGGCACATAAAAAAATGGGGACACCAAAATGTTACAAAAGATTTACACCATCCAAAACCTCAACGCCATCTCCGCATCCGCATTCGCATCCGCAATCGACGCCTCCTTCTTCCTGCTTGTGGGCAATACCATTACTTTACCATTACCTTTGCTGGTTTGAGTAATGGATTAAATTTTTACTCACTTGTTTTGGGTTTCCTTGCTACCGCTATTGGTTGGATAGTGTATTCGTTTTTTATAGCTCACCCCCCAAAAAAAAGGATAACACGCCGTTGATGAAGGGATGCTAGTGAGAAACTTAAAAGAACTTACAGCTCTTGATACTCCTAAGAACTTTACTAGATGGGTTTGAAGACAGAGGAAAAGCCAAAGGATGCTTCAAGTTCGAAATAGTGATTTTCCCATACTTTTGCAATAAAAGAAGAGTTGTCACCTTGTACAAATTCAAATGTTTTAGCTATTTTTATGTCATTCTTGCTGTCATCCTAGTAGTCATTTAGACTAATCTCAAAAGTCCAAAAGTACGCACGTGTTTGTTGTGAGTAGGAAATCCAAATCTTTCCCCTATATTTCGGCAGTTTAATAGTAATCAAACGCAATCAGAATAGTTCTGCGATAATGCTTACCACTCTGATGTATCGAACTGCAGCGGTCACGATGACCGTCTATATGACCAATCGAGTTGGAGTTTGGGGCAAGACGGAGGAGACGGATCGCCTGTTCCATCAGATCACTGGGGGTCTTCATCCACTAGTTGGACTCCTGCGACGAGTGCTGAACTTTGAGGAGAGCGATCTGGGCGTGGGAGAGCTATCCCGCAGATACTACAATGAGGGAGTGAAGGGTACCTTCCGTATAATACGAAATATACCCAATTATTCGGAGGATCTGGCCGACGGAGCCAAGGTCACCTGTCTGGATTTGGTAGAAAAGGCCAAGGAATTGCGCCACCAAGAATACTCAAGATGGTGGAATACTTCCACGAATAACGAGATACTAAAGGTTGATTCAGCAGATTCTTCAGCTGGCGATGGATCATCCGAGGATTTAATCCCATTTCAGAAACGAATGGCCGTAGACAATTTACCGGGACAAGGCAATGTTGCCCTCAAACCGAGAATAATGTGAGGGTTCAAGCATCACTCTATACCAAAAAAAAAAAAAGAAATCAAAAAGTATATCCCACTCACACTCTACAAAATCTAATTGTTAAATGCTTGCGAAAAAAAACATGTATGTAAATCTTGTTGGAATCCCTAATGCTCTGCAAGTGTTCAATTAAAGATATGCTAAAGAATTCGCGTTTTGAATCATTACTCAACAAAAGAATTTGTTACAAAATATATGGTAATAATAATTAAATCAATCGGAGCTATGTGTAGAGCAACAGTAATCGAACTTGTCCAAATTTTCCGGAAATCCTTCCTTTACTTTTCCTTCGCCCAGACACTCGGCAAACAGTGAGAATTGTCAACAGTCTATTAAAATGCCAGCCGAGCCGCATTGGCAACCAAAGTCAAGCCGTGCGAAAAAGGATTTTCCAACCCCTTTCCCCGGAAAAGCAAAAGCTGAAGCCAAGCGAACCAAACCAAATCAATCCAACCCTTTTCCCATTTCCTTTATCCAGTTGCTTTGCGTGTTGCTTAACATGCGTTTTAATGTGACCCTTGCGGGTCCATAAAAACTCAGTTTTTTACCTATGAAAATCCCCTTTTCTCTGGAATCTTCTGGGTTTGGATACCTGTTACTCGTAGCATTAAATTGCTTTTTTCTTTGCATATATACAATTAAAATAGAAGTAAACAGATACATACATACCAATAATCTGGCTTTTTTCAATAATAATTTGGATATAAAAAGAATCGCCTTCTGCAGTAGGACAGTTTTTAACCGACTTCGATTGGTTTTCCCTCTTTATTGTTGAGTTGTAAACAGGTGGGTGGGTCATAAAAACGGGGACTACCATTTTAGGAAGGGTAGTAAAACCCTTTTGCAAGTCGAGTGAAATAAACTTTATGAACAGCCCGAGGCAATTGGCAGTTTGAAAATATCTGGAAGCCAGTGGTTGATTGAAAAACTAGCTTAAATCTTAATTAGTTCTGTTTGCATGCGCTTAACAAGGAGTTTGCTAAGTTCCTACCTGGATTCTTGCAGTTCTTAGCCAGTCTTAAAGACTTGAATTCAACATGGCCAAATTCTCGCCCTGCCATCCAGTATCTAAAGTATACTCGTATCCATTGCATTGTTGTCCAAAGCATAATCCGCGTTGTATCTATTTACATATTTATCTGCGCTTTGCGGGATTCATTGCTGCGACTCCTGACGGAGGATGCCAAAAAGGTTGTGGAGCTGGGAAAAAAGGTTTGGATGAGGGACATGGCGGATGGTGGCTACGTGCCGCGTCTTTTGGCTGACTCTTTAACCGCTTATGCCTTAGATTTATAGTCACGGATTTTATTTATGTCACTTGACTCATCCTCACCGCTGGCACCATTTTTCTTTGCGGTTTAGCATACAAAGCGTCTGGTCCTGGTTTTCTGGTCGTATCCCTTTTATACTGCCACATTCTATTTCCATGCTGCTCCTCTAAACGTTGCATAAAATCAATTTCCTTAAGTTCAAGTCCTTGATGATGAGGTAAAAGTGTTGTAAGTTTATGCTGCTCGAAGGCGTGGGCTGCACAGCGGTGCACTGGGAGAAAAGCAGGGGTATTATAATGTACACAATGAATCAATTGTTGGCATACCTTCTTGAAGTTCAATAGTCTACCTATAAATGTCTGTATTTTACTTACGCTAAGTGCTTTTAACTGGAACAGTAAATAAATTTTAAATATTTATGGAGACATTAAGCAAGTGTTTTTAAATTGTAACGTGATCTACTTTCTCGCAGTGTACGCAGAGTGTGAATGTTAGTCAGTACTTGGCGCTGTTGTCGGCACAGCTGGCGCTGAAGTTCCTGGGGATTTTGGGGGTTGGGGCGTGGTGTTTGGTGTTTGGGGCTTGGGGTTTTGTGGGGTCATGGGGGTGGAGCTAGGGTGGCACATTTGGCGCCCAGCCGAGCGCTGTCTTGCATATTTAAGTTGGCCAAGCTCCCCTTTGTCTTCTGGGAGCTAGGGAATCGAGGAATCCCCACCCACGTCCGGTTGCTCCGATGTTTCCGTTCGGCTGTCTTCCCCACTTCACCTGAATGGCATCGTAAAACCAGGTTCATTAGCAGGAGGCCGCCTCTTGCCATGTTTTCCATATATTCATTTGGCCACTGCATTCATTTCCGTTCATTTTCAATTGCGTCCGTCTGAAGTCGTTTATTAATGAAGCGACTTGATGCCGGATCCTTTTTCCCGGATCTGCTACACTTCAGTTTCATCCTCCGTTTCATCCCTTTGGCCGAGGTGAATATATATTTTGTGCTAATTTCCGTTTAATTGTTTAATATGTTGTTTGCATTTTCTATTAGCCCAAGTTTCCGCTGCTCATTGTTCTGGCAATTATTATTATTTTCCGGCTTGCCACTTCGCAGTGACCTGGCTGCAAAGTAAGGGGATTTGGTTAGACTCACGGACTCAAAGGGATATAATCCAGTTAATAGTCCGAATTAACTGAAAACTTGGGGGCTCAGACAAGTGGGTCTTAATGTCGAGTTTTAATGGTAATTGTGATGATACTTCCATTTAACTTACTAAAAGCATTAAGGGAAGGGTTGTAGAAGGAATAATTTGCATGCAACACTAATAGATATATCAACTTTAAATATGGCTGAAACAAATTTACTTAAAGCACTATTGAAACCGTCTTTTTGCAGTTTTAATTTGATAAACTCGGCAATAATAATGATTTGATTAGAAATAACTTAACTTTGCCACATCCAAAAGTAAATCGAGCATTTCCACCCAAAATCCCATGGGAATGCGCACAGCTGCTGTTTAACCAACTTCGGTGGCATTGGGTCTTAGCCACAGTTAAGACTTTATTTACATACAAGCCTCCCATTCCCGATTTCCAATTTAAATCATTTTAATGGCCCAGAAGCGAAGGCAGCGCAGCTAATTCTTGTACAACTCCTAAGTCCGTCCAAATCCCACTGCCATAAATGTGGCGCTGGATTAGCGTAGTCGGGAAAATGCAGGGAAAATATGCTGGGCCGGGGAAAACCAAGCCGGGGACACCTATAGTCTCAGCTGGCTGGAAAAAGTCGCCGGAGAATGACGACAGACTTGGAGAATCCAAGACAGACAATGAAAGCCGCAGCCTTCTTTCAGCAAACTCCAACTTTCACATCTCCAATCCTCACTTTCAATTATTCGCTTTCGCTGTTCTTGTTTCGGTTTTTCGAGGGGTTAGCCCCACACCAGCAATTTTCCCAAACTCTTGTTCTTTGCCAGTCGTAATAGAATAAAGTTTGCACCCTGGGAATTTCAACTGTTGTTCCTCGGCATTTCCCACCTGACCGGCTCCCCAATGCTCGAATTTTCCACCCACGGTTGCCAAGGACATAAAAAGTACATAGATCTTCGTCGCTTTTTTGGGGGCAGCTTCTTTAGCTTGTTGCAAACTTGTAATCCACTCAGCCCATTTTCTTTTCGAAAGGTGCAGTACTTAAAGGTGTACTTAAATAGGTATTTCAATTAAAAATATGAATACAGCTTTGAAAATGCAGTAATTGCTATGCACTTTAATTTTATTTCATTTAGTATTGCGTTTGGAAAACGGTCTTTCTCTGCCTTAAACTGTGACTAAAACTAGGAAAATATGATTTCAGACTCCCTTCTATTTATTTTTTGTGCGGATCTCTGCAGAACATTTCGTCGCTCTTTCTGCATGGAGTTTTCCCCCATCATTGCATAAAATTCAAACTCTAAACCAGATAAATCTGGGGGTAACTGTCTTCCAGTAGCGCTGCTCACCTACTTACGATGCCCTCTGCTGTCGTCTGACTGCTGTCTCCTGTTTTCAGTCGCCTGCTGTCTGCTTATTGCTTTTATTTATTTACTAGACATAACTCCAAACATCTCCAAACACCCACCTTCAACCACTTCTGCCCACTTTTGCCCACTTTGGGTAGTCGTGTTTTTGATTTGTTGTGGCCCGCCGGCGTTTTAGCAGTCGCAGGTGTTGCGGCGCTCCATTTCAGTGGTGTTTATGACACAAAGTTGAGTTTTATGCCAGCAACCGAAAGTATGCAAAAATATATTTATACCCCCTGCATATATTACGATACCCTAGCTGCGGGTACTTGCAATTCCGCTTGGAAGTGTTGCCTGTTATAGTCAAATATTTCATTTATTTTTTCGAAATATGAACTATCTGGTTTTTAGTTTCTTTAATGCGTTTTTAAATCTAGTTTATGGTAAAGAATTTTCATGAATGTTTTTTTAAGGGTATTTGTGTATTTTTGTGAGCGGTAGTACATGTATCTGTATCTGTAGCTGCAAATGTATCTGCAAATGTATCTGCATGTATTTGAATCGCACCACAAGGGGCATAAAAAACATGGCCTGAAAGTAGGCAACACAACATTTTTATTCGCTCATAATGTTTTATATTTCCATGTACATATGTGTGTATGTGTGGGGGGTGAAAAACGAAAAGGTGGGGAAAAATCGAACCGAAAGCAATCGGCTACTGGTCAATTAAATTGCTGACCAGTCACTAATGGAGTTTTGATTTGCCTGCGGTCGCACGATTCTTCCCACACCAATTCTATGAGAGATTAGATGGGGCCACGAATCTTTTGCCGTAAAACTAATCAACCTTAAATGCGCTTTTTGGACCATCAAAGTTAAGCTGCTTAAATGGAGACACACACACACAACTAATTAAGTAATTACTTTTCGCTAATTAAACGGAAAAGCGGTAGAGAAATTCAACTTCAATTTGACTGGATGCCGTCTCTTTGGCCGTGACTCTCTGTCCATCAAGCTCACACTTCTGGCCCAACTTTTGCTATTTTGCTCATTTTGCTCATTTTATGTGGATCGATTGAATCGACGATGCTTAAATATTAATGATGAAAGCAAGCGGACGGTGGCACCGCCTACAAAACTACACCAAACTCGACTGTATGTCCTTTCATAAGCGAACGGGATGGCAAAAGTTTTCCACAGCTTCCTTCATCTTGTGTGTGACTCATGATTTTTGGAGTCTGCGAAAATGCGAAAATGCGAAACTGGGGGTCGAATAGTTTCAGCTTGCCAGGCACATATGCTACACCTGCGGTAGATGGAAAACCCAGCTAAGATATCGATTTTGGAAAAGTCACATTTTCACTACCTATAGAAATACATTTGCGCCAGCCAGCCTGCTAAATGTTTTTAATACATTAATG